GCTGGTACCTGAGGTTTTTCTTGAACCTTAAAAGAGAAAAAGAGAATTCTAGATTACTTTAAGTGCAAATATATTAAAAAGAGTAGGTTTGGAAGAATGCTTGTTTTGCAAGTCAAGTGCTAACAGTCTCATTTTGACCGTAGGTTTGATCCCAGAGACCACAGAAGAATGGAAGTTCCTTCTGCATCTTGCAGCAAATCACAGTGCTGCTTTGCATCAGCACAGCGTACATAACGGGGACACTGTCGGCAACGGCAGCCCTGCTTGGGCAAACTGCATCACTGTGGAAAACGTCTCTCTCCTCCTGGCCAAGGCCATTGGCCTGAATGGTGCCTTGCCCCTGCTGCAGGAGTGCGGCTGCTCCCTAGAACGGTCCGAGAGGTTTAGCAGGGTCTGGGAGATGCTGAGAATTGCAGAGAAAAGGCAAAGGTAAGATGGCACGTTCTTAGATCTGTCTAGGCACACTGTGCATTTTGGGCGCTCCTCTTGCTTCAGGTTTTCTTGTCAGTTAACAGAAAATAAAATATGTCACATCCAGTTTCTGGAACTGGAAACTCAGCTGAGAGCTTTTCTTGTATGTAGCAGTTATCTATATGCAGTATAGGCACCCTAAAAATGGAAAGTGAGGGAAACGGGAAATAATGCATTAAAGATGGATTCCTTTTGAAAAGTATTCATTATTGACTTATATCTCTTCAAAAATGAAGAAATTATGAAGGAGAGTTTTGCTCTCCTCTAGCAATTATCTGTACAGCTGCTTTCTTAGACAAAGAAGGGGATTTAAAATATCTGCTATAGACCATGATGGATAAGTTCAAAATATAAAGCCTGCTCTGCTGCTGTACACTGATGTCAGATACCCTATTCTAATTCTGAAAGAAAGGGCATGGAAACAGGTGATATTGTATTCTGAAAGGGCTGATGGCAATTTAAGGGCTTTCTGTCACATCAAGCCCAGGCCCTGTGAGAGTCTGTGTGTGGATTGCGTGAAGGACATGTGTGATTTGCTCAGTCCTTCCATGGGCTTTCAGCTCTGACCTGTTCCCTCCCAAAGAGACTGTGTGTGGTGATGCCATGGTGTTATCTCTGAAACACAATCATGCTTTGGACAAACTTCAACTTGGCAAACAAAACACAATCGTCTTTAAAGTGTTTATTTTTTTTCTTTGCTTTTATTGCAGAGCCCTGATCCATTCCATGTTGGAAAGGTGTGACCGGTTCTTGTGGTCTCAGCAAGCATAGAAAACAATTCTGGAAACTTTGGGAACATATTTTTTTACTGTAACTATTGTATATTAAAGTGCCTCATAAGCTTCATAGTCTCTTAAAGAAATAAACTCCTGTCTCATAATTCCACTGTCTTCAGTCTCTATCTGGATGGTACTTTCCCAGGAATTCCTGACAGCTTTTTATTCTTTTGCAAATAGATTTTGAACTTCAGAGCTTAGAATGAAGCAATACAGTTTGTATCCTGATATTATGCCCAAAGGCTTGAGATGAAGAAATTTGGGTTTTTCTTTTCCTCTGAGTCTGCATGATTTAAGTGTTAAAATAGGAGTCCCTAAGTATTAAATTACCGTGTATAAAATTGGGTTTGTGTTTGTTGCAAAGATGAGTAGCTGTTCTTGGGAAATAGCAGAGCACAGATCTGCTTCAGTTGACAGTGATGCTCACTTTACTAAGGAGCTGTAGGAATGCTTGTGACAGGATCTTTCTTCCCTTGAAGTATGTGAACTATTCTTGACAATTCAAAAAGGCATTAGAAGAGCAAGTCTGAAAATGGGGAGGAGTGTTTTGGGGCGAGTGCAGTAATGAATAAAAACAAAGATTAATAGAGGATTTTAATTTAACTAAATGCTAAACTGTATGAGCACGGTATTCCTGAATTGTTAGTGTCTGTTGAGGAAATACGACTCCAGACTTGAGCTGGGCTGTTTCAACAGGATGTGAGGGCAAGGGTGTTCCCAAGGGAGTTTAGACCTTTTTGGGCAGCAAGAGGACCCTGTGCCTAAAGCTTCCTGGAGGATGGCACTGGAGAGGGGATGCAGCTTCTGTCAGCCCCCTGGTGTAGCCCCTGCTTGTCTGGATGGACATGTGCTGAATTGGTGTGTGTTCAGCTCCTGTTGGTTCCAGCTGACCCGCGGTGACGGGCCCTGAGGGAATGGACACCAACAGAGTCTGGAGAGACTCTAAGTAGAGGCTGCTCTTGCAAATGTCCCATGCGTGCAGCAAATCATGATTTAACTGCTAGAACTATTAGCAGTGCATATTACTGGCGCATGAATGCACTGGGATAGTAATCCTCTTTAGGATAAGCATTTATAAATGCAGGAGAGACCAAGTTTACAGTCTGTGTGCAAGCCAATATATAAACCTCTGTGGGGTATGGTGTCAGTAAATATTCCAGGACAAAATTCCCTGAAGTCAATTGTTGTTTGGGTAAACTTAGATAAGGCAGTATTATTTCCCAGAATAATTGCATGTACTATTGTGTTTGAGTTGATAATTCAACTCTCACTATTTCTCAACCAGGTTTACTGATTTGGATTGCAAAATAACTAGATTGCAAAATGGAGGTTGTATTGTGTAGGTGCTTGCAACGGATTTCCACTGGTTTGGAAAATCCAGACTCCTCTGGGTTTTCCTGGTAGCTTTTACCTTAACTATGTCAGAATGTGCACACTTGCTTAAAGCAAGTCTCATAGGCACCCTGGTTGTGCTGCATTGGCAGAGTGTGTAAATGCTGCGGTATGTTCATAGTGGCTGTTGGTGCCAGGCCAGGAAGAACTATGACACTGAAGCCCTTCTGCGTGCTCATGGCTGGGCTACTAGCGCAGAATTGGGGAGCATGTTTGGAACAGAAGACTTGAAATACCCTCTGTGGTCCAAAAATGCTGGCGCTCTTGAGGGAAGTGCTCCTTCAGTTGGGTTTGCAGGCAGGGCTGTCCTAGGTCCCTGTTCCCATGACACACACGTTACTGAGCCTCTTCACAACCACATGGAGACATTTTTCAGTCTTGAGGGGGGTGTGTGTGTGTGTGTGTACAGATGTGTATGTTTTATTAGGACTCATGACACACACGTTACTGAGCCTCTTCCCAACCACATGGAGACATTTTTTAGTCTTGTGTGTATGTACAGATGTGTATGTTTTATTAAGACTAAAGAGAGATGGGCATGGACACTTGCAGCCAACAGAAGGAATATGATGTGCACCTTAAAGGCATGAGTGGTCACCAAGATGTGAACAGTGCAGCAAAGCACTCCAGGCCCTCGAATAATGGAGCTGTTACCCAACTGGGCATGAGCTTCAGGGGTGGCAGGGGCCAAAACTGCCTGGCCTGCTGCTTTTTGCAAAGTTTCCTTTCCCAATGGGTTGCAACTCAAATTATTCTTGTCTCGCTTCATTTATTGTTTTCTCCAGAGATATTGTATTAGATAATATGTCTTTCCACTCCAGGCTGTTGGTAGAAAGTGTCTCTTCCTGCCTTAAGCTTGTTGGAAGCTCAGGGATGTGCCAGGGAAGTTTATTGGTGGCATTTCATTAGCTCTGAGGTTGTTGTCATACTGCTTATCTCATGTACTGCCCTTAAACTCCAGCTGCTAATTGTTTGAGTGGTAGTGGTGAATGAGACAACTGCACATACGTCTTGTGTAGAGGATGTAAAGAATCCTGTTAAATCAGGTATGAGATGACATACTGGAGAGCCATTATAAGCACTGAACCTAAAGCAAAACTGCAAAACCCAGAGCCTTCAGTAGGAAAGCAGTGATTACACAAGGGAAGCCAGCACCGAGCAGAGTTCTTGGGACATCTTGCAGAGACCTGGCCCTGCTGACAGGGGAGAGGAGTGGGGATGTTAACACTGGACCATTCCAGGAAGGCCTGGTACTTTTTACACTTAATCTGAAAGCTGCCTGCTATCTGGCTGTGTGGATTTCATTTTGCTTTTTCTGTATCACTGCATCAAACATATCCTTTCTTTAGAGTCTCTGGGCCCTTCTGAGCCGATGTTGCAGCAGAGGAGCCTACAGTCCCTTGCGAGTAAAGGAGAGCAGAAGGTGGCGCACGAGGCTCCCGCCACGGCTGCAGGATGCGCTCCCTCGGCGCGCAGCAGCAGCAGGGACGTCGGTGCGCGCAGCCCGTCTCGCAGCAGAGCCTGACAGCAGCACTTGGTGTCTGCCAGGCCATGTTGGTGAGCGTGGGGCTTGGGTTCAGCACTTCTTGCATTGGGCCTGTGAAGGCGGCAGCTCTTTCCTCCCTACCTTGCGTTTCATGGTAGATGCAGACGATGGGGCAGCTTCACTGGATCCTCTCCAGCAACGGTGTTGCTCTTCAGCCAACTCTAATGCTTCGAGCCCCTTTGGCCTGCAGGGCGGCTTCCAGCCTGCTCATTCCAAAGAGCAGGTAGGCCTGAGGACATCTGAAGAGCCCTATGCTTTTTTTGTTTGCTTAAATTGTGCAACAGTAGTTACAGTTTTTGAGTGAGGACAGAGACAGGCTTCCAGTAATGCTTTCTGTGTTGAAATGTGAAATGGGAGTGGGAAATCCCCAGACTTGGGAATCCATTTCAGTTTCCTTTTTTTTTTTTTTTTCCTTTTTCAATCATTTATAAATACCCATTCTGCCTCTGAAGACACAAGACAGCTGCTTCTGGCCTTGCCTTCCAGCAGTGGTGAGTGATTCTTTGCAGTGTTTTCTATCTGCTGTTCAGGAACAGGACTAGTGCTTTAGTGTTTAGGACTTGAGTACCGAGTCAGAAGGAGCAGCGGGGACTGCTGAAGTGCAAGTTTCTCCTGCCTG